TTTTTTTTTTTTATTAAAACGTAAACTGCTTCTTTTCAATCTTCTTAATTCGTGAGCTGTTACAAATATAGCGTAAATATAAATAAGGCGTACTTGTGATGCCAGCATTATGTTTTCAGTGCAAAATTTTACGTACGCATTTGATTATGTTATAAGCATTTGTTATAAATGGTTGCAATTACCTGTAAGTATAATTTTACATCGTTTTATAATTATAACAACGCGTGTATATATACTAATATATTATTAACATTTGCGTTTGAAAGAACTACGAATTCATGCGTCAGTTACTATAACATTTGGTTCGTGATAAATTTTTATAAAATTATGAAATCATTTGCAATTGTATGTTTACAGTGAAAAAGCACATAATCTTGGTGACATAATTGGAAAAGCGACTGCATGAAAAAAATTACTTATTTAATTTTAAAGCTATGAGAAGAACTTGACATAAGTGACTTTTATAAAAAGTGAATAAAATGTCAATTATATAATAATTAATGATAATAATGAATAACATTTGATCACAATATATGACTGATCTACTGATAGAATTAATGTACATTTCGTAATATATTTTCACTGTTCCTGGGTTATAACATGGCACTTAGGTCATTTTTACATATAGGTGACAATGCATATAAATGGTAAGACAAATCTTTTTGCATTAAATTTTTATATCTATTAATTACTTCAAATTACCTAACTATATTTATGTATCTTTTCCAGTGTTTTTACTGCTATAACGTTTAAACCTAAATTATATGTACTTGAAGGATATAAACAAGTCAAAAATTTTCATAAATTTCGAGGCAAAATAAAACTATCAAAATCACAGCTACCAAATGAGTTTTTTCAAACACAATCGGCACATTTTTCCAATTTATGGAAACCATTTACTTTTACTATCATAGTAAGAGATTGTAAAATATTAGATTTTAGTTCTGTTTTTATTTTGTCATATTTAAACAAAATTTATTATTTTAGTATCATAAGTCTATTTATGTTTAATTTAGTTTAGTGCAACAACATTTATTGCGGCTGTCATTTGGGAATATGAATGTATCAGAAATAAAACCTATAGGATAATCGGAAGTTATCAGCAATGGGGAATACATGTTTGTATATTGAAACTTGTATATAATTTAAAATATTTTATTAATTACATATTATTTTTATTTAGCGGACAGGATGGAGATATACAATGGAAAATTGGTGGAAGAACTTATCAGAAGGAGAAAAAATATTTGTTCCCATATGTTTCTTAAATGTGCTGGTATTTTTATCATGGCATATTCCAGCATTTCGACTAACAATGTATCGATATTTCTCATCTACTCCTACAAGTAGTGAGTAAAACATTTTTAAAAATATTAATACACACACACATGCACACACATATGTATATATATATAAGAGTATCAAATTTTATATTTCTAACATAAGACAGATGTTGGCCAATGGTGCTTGGAACATTTTCTCATTGTTCCCTTGTTCATCTAATTATCAACATGTATGTATTATATGGCTTCTCTAAAGTTGCTGTAGCTCAATTGGGTAGAGAACAATTTTTGACGCTTTATTTAACCAGTGGAGTAATATCTAGTTTTTCAAGTTATTTATACAAAGCTGCAGTTGGTATAAAAGATCCTTCTTTGGGAGCTGTGAGTATTCAATAAAATTTATATTTATGATATAAAATGTTAATGTAAATATAATTTAAAATATAACAATAATCGAACATAGTCAGGAGCAATAATGGGTGTCTTCGGATTTGTGTGTACTCAATTTCCAAATGCACATCTGTCTATTGTTTTTCTTCCAATGTTAAAATTTACAGCAAGTGTAGTATGTATAATATCATTTTAACTATATAAAATTAAAGTTATATGTGTAATTCTACATTTTTTATTAAAAATATTTATATAATCAGGTTATGAAAGCTGTAATGGGTTTAGATACTTTGGGATGTTTTATGCGTTGGCAACGTTTTGACCATGCAGCACATTTGGGAGGAGTATTATTTGGAATGTAAGTACTTATATATAAAACATGTAAAAATTTATGTATTTTTATTGCTGTTTTATTATAGATTTTGGCAAATGTGGGGTAGTGCCAATATGTGGCAAAAACGTGAACCAGTATTAGTATTTTGGCATCAAATCCGTGAACCATCTAGGTCTAAATAATACCTCTTTGTTATGAAATTGATACTAATATACTTTGTATATTTGTAATATTATGAAAAATTATGAAAGTTATAAAAAGTGAAATTATATGAAAAAGAAAACTTATTAATTTTTTGTAACTAATGAAAAAGATTATGAAAAATTTGATAGTAAGGAAAAACACACATAATTCAAAATGTACAAGTTTAGTATGGATCGGAAAAATTCAAGTATAATGAATTAAGATATTGAGATTCATTTCAAATCAACTCCACAATAGTTAAATGCTGAGTCAGTCAATACAAAGTTATATATTTCTTTAAAATTACGGCATCCCGAACAATATAGAAACATCTGGACCGAATTTTTGGAACTCTTATCAAAATTCGTCCAGTTTCGTGACCATACGCTTCCCACATATAGCACAACAATAAGGAATTATTATTTTTACTTGCATAATATATCTAATTAAAATATTTGACCTTAGAAAAAATATGTTATAGATATTTTTTGTGGTGTTATTATCATTATTATTGTAACATTTTATTTTTTGATATCAAAAACATTATAAAGAAATAAGTACATAAATTGAATTAAGATGTAAGATATTTTACATGATGTTTAATGTGATCTTCTATGAATGTAGATATAAAAAAATAACTATGATCATAGCCTTCTTGATATCTAAGAACTAAAGATAATCCAGCATCTTTTGCAGCTGATAATAAATTTTCTGGTAGTAATTGCCCATCTTTCAAAAACTTATCTTCTTTTCCCTAAAATTATGGATTTATTTATATATTAATTTATTATAAGATTTTATCTTAGTTAATAATATACCTGGTCAACTAATATATCTAAAGGAGGTCCATTGTATTTTTTAGCCAGTTCTGTAGCATCCCACTCTTTCCATACAGCATTAGTTTCTGTTCCACCCAGGTAACCAGACAAAGCTTTTTTCCCCCATGAACATGACATTGGATTACTTATAGGTGCAAAAGCAGATACTGTTTTATATAAGCCAGGATTTTTTAAAGCACATATTAAGGCTCCATGTCCGCCCATACTATAAAATTTGAAATATGATTAAATGAAAAAATTCTATGATTAAAAATTTGATCAAATTATTAAATAATCAAGTTTTGATTTACTGTTTACCTATGACCCATTATGGATTGTTTATCTGATAAAATGGGAAATTTATCATTAATTAAAGCTGGTAGTTCCTTAGTTACATAACTATACATTCTATAATTTCTTTTCCATGGTTCATTTGTTGCATCAACATAAAAACCAGCACCAGTTCCAAAGTCCCAATCATCATCTTCTTCAGGTATATTAAGATTGCGAGGACTAGTATCAGGTGCAACTAAAACTACCCCTTGTTCAGAAGCATATTTTTGTGCACCTGCTTTCTGTACAAAATTAGTTTCTGTACATGTTAAGCCAGATAACCAATAAATAACTGGTACAGGACCTTCTTCCGCTTGTGGTGGAAGAAAAATTCCGAAGTTCATTTTACATCCCAATTCATAGCTATATTATAAAATGTTATTGGTAATATTGAATATTATTAAATAATCTTGATATAAAAAATAGAAAATTGCGCAATACCTCTCATGCGAATAAACCTTCTGCCATCCGCCAAAAATTTTGTTGCTAGAAACTTGAGTAATATCTGGCATCTAAAAACATTTTTCAACGTTAAAATTAATTAAATCTTTACATTTTTAAATATATTACATGTTTTATGAACATAAATAGGGTTAGATAGGGTTAATAGAAAACTAAAATCATTCGGTATATTTAAAATTTCGTCTTATTTTGGATAGAAAAGAAAAAAGAAAAATTGATTTTATTAAATTAATTAATCTTTTTTAATTATTTTTTAAATTAGTGACATATTTATGATAAAAAACAAATATTATTTCGAGTAACATACCTTATAACGAAAAATTACGTTCAATATGTGATTTCCCACGAACTTTGAATAGTTATGAAACTCGTGACATAAATAAAACTATCAGTTGTACGTTATCAAGTAAATTGATAACAGTTTTACAAAATATTCCTATATGTTCTATATTACGAATTGTATGTATAATTTTAATTGGACAATTTAAAGCAATTACAATTGGTCTTTTAATTTATGCTTAATTTTATATGAAAATCATATTTTTGGTAATATAAGTAATTTTTTTATTAATATATTCATTAATATATTATTTTTTAAATATTGTTTAAATTATTAATTTTATTTTTATATACTATTTTTGCATAATGTAAATGCATATAATAAAAAAACACTAATATTATTATACAGTTTAAAAAGTTATATTAAAAAGTTTTCTTCATTGATTGTGCTTGTATGGAAGCTTTTGTAAATAGTTGCTTTTGTTTTATGTTGCTTCTTGATACACTTTGTATTGGAAAAACTGAAACATAATAATTTAAGATGATTGATAAATGCTTATTATTACTATGTATGTATGTTCTTATAAACATACTTTCAAATTCTGGTTCTATATTGACAACATGCCCAATACTTCCCTTAGATGATCCATAACTTTCTCTATTTGTACTTTTTGGTAAGCATTCTGATGAATTTGTATTACTATTAGATCGATTAGATCCTAGTGATTGACTAAACAAAGTTGTAGATGGTAATTGTATATTCTGAGATGTTAATAATTTTTTAATATAAGACTCAACTTCTATATGCTGAACTGTAAATTCTGCAATATCTTGCAAAGCAATGGAATTTTGTTCTTGCAATTCACGAAGTTCTACTTCTTTCTATTGAATACAAATAAATTAAGAGAAGTTTATAAAACATATACTATAATGCCAAAACACATTTGACAATTCACAAACCTGTTGTATCAGCACAGTTTTGTCTCCTGTAGTTTCATACAGTCGATGAACACCTCTTTTGGCATTTTGTAAATTTTTATCAGCTCTTGTTATTTTTTCTTTTTGTTCGTGAATTTGATGTTTCAAATCAGTTAAATATTGCTTTTTACTTTCTTTGCATTCTTGAGTTTCCTCAATATTTTCAAGAATTTTCACATAGTCTTTTTGTATCTTCTATTAAAATCATTTTATTTTACAATTTAATATATTTTTTATTTTTTAATATCATGTTAAATATATTGTAAAATACCTGCATATTTTCAGTTAAACACTGTAATTCTTCCTTTTTTTGCTTTAAATTTTGTTCTGTACGCTGTAGTTCTTCGTCCAATTTTCTATGTTCTTCTACTTCTAATTTATTTTGATCATCTGGAGTTAAAGTTACTTTGTATTTGTCATTACAAACATTTATTACTCGTAATGTATTTTCCATAGCTTGTATTTCATCTTCAGTTTTTCTTATTGTTCCATCTAATTTATCGCCTTGTTCTTGTAAAAGATATCTTTCTTGTGCATTTTGAATCTTCATATGAGTAGTACTTATTGGAGTCCCATCAGGATTAGTACCTAATAACGCTATACAATTGTCATATCTTGCTTGTAATTGTTTTATTCTTATATTTCTTTCAGCAATAGCACTTCTTAATTCTGAACATTCACTATCTGCAATTCTTTTTTGTACGATTAAAGATTCCTTTTGTACAATAATTTCTGCTCTTCGTTCCCTCATTGCCTAAATGATTTTATCAAAATTTTATATTTTAATTTAATACTTTAAGTTGTAAATCATTTAATATTTTTAGTAATACTAAGTATTATTCTATGAAAAACGTACTGCTTCTAATTCAAGTCTATATCTTTCTAAATCATAAACGTTTTCTCCTATATTTGATATTATTTTTTCCATTTGAGATACTTTAAGTCGTAGCATACTTTCTTCTACTTGTTTCTCTTCATAACGATTTTGTGCAGCTTTTAATCTTTTTTCTCCTGCATTCATAACGAGAACAAGATCTTGCTTTTTATTTTGTAAATATTCTAATTCATTGTTATCATGTGCTAAACTATTTGATATTTTTCTCATATTATCCTATATAATAAAAAGATAATGTCAATATACTATTTAATTTAAGTAATTTTTAAACAACTTACTTCTAAAGCGATAATCTGTTTTTGCAATAACTTGGACACTTTCATTTTTTCATCTAATGCACTTTGAAGTTCTTCGATCTTCTTTTGTTTTTTTTCGATTTCAGATTTATCATATTCAAGTCCTCTTAATCTATCCAATTTCATCTCATATTTTCGAACTTCAAATTCAGCTTGATACCATACTTCTTTTTTATTTTCCGAAATTTGTTCTTCTTTAACATATAATTTGTCTAAATATTCACATTTTTTAAATTCTTTTTCATACTGCATTTTTAAAACTTTACTCTCATTTTCTAAGTTTTTCATTTGGTCCATTACACGTAAATTCGCCATTTGTAATCGATTTATTTCTTTAATCATTTGGGATTTCTTTTTCTCTTGTTCCTGTTTTATTTTAATATGTTATTTTATTTTGTTTAATAATCACTATTTAATAACAAATACCTCTATCATTTCCTCCAATTCCTTTGCCTTTTCTTCAATGTTTACTTTTTGATTGGTGATGTCTTGTAATTTTACAGTTAAATCTGCTACTTGTGTATTTGTTTTTTCTATTTTTGCATTTTTAATTTGTATTTGTGACTTCTTATGATTTACATCAGTTCTTATTTGTTGTACACGTTGAGTCAATTCTTTTACGACATTTTTTTGTATAACAAGCTAAAATTTTGGAAAAGAGAAGATTTTAAGGAAAACGATTTTAAAGGTATTTTTATTTGTATCCTTACTTGATTTTCGTATGCATTAATCATTTCCTTCAAATTACCCTGTTCTTCCTTCATCGCAGTAAGCTTTTTTTCTAATTGCTTAATTGAATATTGAACATGTTTATTATTCTCAATTTGTTCCGTTAAAAATTTTTCTGATTCTTGAAGTACTTTTTTCTTATCTTCAGAAATTTCGTGTAATACTTCTGTTTCCTTGTTAAATAATTTATTATTTTATTTAGTTTTATTTATTTTACTTAATAAAAATTTAACAAAAGATAATAAATATAATTAAAAAGTATTTAGATATTTTATCAAAACAATTAATAAAAAAATATAATGAAAGTTGAATATAGTGCAATTATACTTGAATAATCTTTTTGATATCGTCATTTTTTTGCTGTAACATGATTACACTTTCTTTCCACTGATTAAATATTTGTCGATATTCTATCAATCCTTGATTATACAGCGTAGATGTTCGACTAAGTATAATCTCCATTTCTCGTGTTTCATTAGTTGTTTTAATAATTGAATCACGGTACGTTTGTAATCCAATACTAAGTTTCTGTCTTTTTAATTCTAGTTCCTAAGATGTAGAAAAAACAAATAAATAAAACAAAACTTTTGTAATTATATTACACAATTGATATATACTTTATTTTTAAATTTGTTTACTTCTTTTTTTACCTTATATTCTTTCAGATCTTCTTTCATATATTGCTCTATTAATTCGTTATTATTTTCATTTTCATTTAATATCTCCTCCATTTCTCGTAAATTCTTTTCATCATATTTTAATATATCTTTTGATGTTTCTATTTTTTTTGTTACTTTTTGCAATTCTCTTTCAATGTTTGCTACCGTTTCATTTACTTCTTGCCATTCTTTTTGAAAATTTCGCGCCTCTTGGTAAATACTTGATTCAGTATGACAACTCAATCGGTAATGATGATCTTCAGTTTTAAGTTGTACTGAATGAGCGGTTAAAAGTTTTTGATTCATATCTTGCTCTGTTATTAAATTGTTAATATGTTTTTTCATCATTTTAATTCGTTCCTCCGTTGATTCGAGTTTCGTGGTTAAATTTTCTTTCAATTTCATTTTCCTTTCAATCTTTTAATATAAAATTGTGTATGAATATCAAAAGTTGAACAAAGTATAAAAAGAAATAGATAATTACAAATTAGTAATAAAGTAATAAATAATAAAGTAATAAGTAATAAATAGGTAACAAATAAAATAATACTTAAGTTATTACTATTTTAAGTTATTATTATTTATTTCTATAAATTTAATTTATACCACTGTATAAAAATTTACTGTACCTAAAACTAAACGTGCAACAGGCAAAAGCATTGTGTGTGTGTGTGTGTGTGTGCGCGCGAGTGTGTGCGTGTGTGCGTGCGCAAACGAGTGAAATTAGTGCAGTATAAATGATTATATTACTTCTTCTTCTAATCGTTTGTTTTCTTCATTTGCTACCGGTATACGAAATCCATCGTTCCACCCTAATTCAGTCAAAACTGCATCAATGTTATTGTTCATAGCCATATCTAACCTTGATTCTTCCGAATAATTCTCTGAAAGATAATTCAACACATGTTTCAAAGATTTAATATATAAAAGAATTTGTAATTTGCCGTCATGGCAACCATGTTATGTCGATAACGATAGTACGTAAATTATAATAAAATTTCTATTTATTATTTTTTTATTTTTGTTATGAAAATATGTATGCTAATTTAAAAATTGTTAGAATGAACTTTTCTAACAAGTTCATATGGGATTTATAAAATATATATGTTTGTGTTCAAGCTCCTTAGGGAAAGATAGTAATTTTACTAGGTGAAGTTACTTAAACTGATTACACTGGTATGTAACTAGATGTAAAAACGTGTTCGCTGTGTTTGACGTGAGACGAATAGAAAAATATTGGATAACAATGGCGGACGAAGAATTACCAGCGGGTTGGGAAAAACGTTTAAGTAGATCCACTGGTATGTCAATTTATTTAATAATCGAGGAATGATCTAAAAGATACTTTTACACAATTACTTATTTATTTCATCGTCATTTTTTTGTAAAAATTACTGTATTTTATTGTGTCGACTTTAGCATGAGACATACGGCCGGCATTTTTCCGGCCGTTAACTTGTTATTCTTGCTAGAATTTTATTATTTTTTTCACAATTGCTAATAAAGTACAAAAATTTAATGAACATATATATTGTTTTGTTAATTTTGATAATATTGTAATTATTCGTGAAATTAACATGACATATCTTAAAAAATATATAGTTTTATTACGTCAAAAGTTTTAAGTAACTTTACAATTTGAAAGATACTACAAAGATATTGAAAGATATTACATTGGATAGCTTTTATTCGTTATAAGATAGATATGATGTATACAATAATATTTATTGTATTTTAAGATACTTTAGTAAATATTTTATGATAATATAAAACAGTATATTAATATAATATACATATTTAGAAAATCCATGATGTTATATTGATTAGTACATCTTTTTATAGGACAACATTATTATTTAAATGTTTATACTAAAGAAAGTCAATGGGATAGGCCAGATAAACCAGCTGATCCATCTGGAAATAACAAAGGAGATGGTCCAGAAGAAGTTCAATGTTCTCATTTGTTAGTAAAACATTCAGGTTCTAGACGACCATCTTCATGGCGAGAAGAAAATATCACAAGATCAAAAGAAGAAGCTCTTGAACTTATAAAATGTTAGTAAAAGGACAATAATTATTATAATGATCTTACTTGCAATTTTACTAACAATGATCTTTGTTATATATTTTTATAATTTTATTTATGAACCTAGCTTACAGAGAACAGATCGTATCTGGAAAAGCCACATTTGCTGATCTTGCTTCAAAGTATAGTGATTGTAGTTCAGCTAAGCGAGGTGGAGACTTGGGACCATTTAGTCGAGGTACAATGCAAAAACCTTTTGAGCAAGCAGCATTTGCCCTCAAAGTTGGTGAATTATCTTCACCAGTTCACACAGATAGTGGTATTCATATCATACAGCGAACAGCATAAAATATGCTAATCTCCAATAAAGTATTAAATTCTTTAAAAAAATATTTCACTCTGTTTTGCTGGTAAACTATGGCTACAAGGTAGGAAATTTTCATGATTGTATTCAAAATCAATGTATGTATTTACTTTTATGATGAACAGTTTTTAATCTAAGGACAGATGTAAATTGTATTTTTTTTTTTTTTCATAATTCAATGTGCGGTTATATATTTATGTCTTCCAGTAATTTTAGTCCAAGTAATATTATAAAGTTTTAATTCAGTGATTTGCCATCTGCACATGCATACAGTGAAAACAACAAAATTTATGGATGACACAGAATCAAATAGATAAATTTTTAACAATATTTTTTAATCTAATTTGCTAACCTTACATTCCTTAAATGTTAGATAAACAATAGATTAGATTAATAAACATTTTTATTGGTTTCTATTTTATGTAAAATATAAAGTATTTTATGAAAAAGGAAACAGAAAGAAACATTTATTTCTGTGCATTCATTTCATGCATCACTTATCACAAGTCCGAATTTTAATATTTATAAATAATATAATTTTGTTTCGATTTGTCGTAAATCGTAAAAACTGTTTTACTAGTCTTAAATCGAATTGTTGAATAAATTTTAAATTAAATTGTGATGTGACAATGTTTTGTCCAATTAGAGTGAATTTAACATTAATAAAATAAAATACAAATATGCATAATTATGAAGTTTTTGCTCAAATAGATATTTATATCTTGACATTTTTGCACTTTAACATTATTGCAATTTATTTATAAATGAATATAGTACTTTTTATTACTGAAAAATTCAATTTAATTCAAATTTTTTTTATTTATATTTTTGTTTCAATTCTTAAACATTTTCTTTAAACATTATTTTAATGTAAAGGAATATGTGTTGTTAAATGTTAGAAACACATCATTACAAAAAGATCATTTAATAATAAATTTTAATAAAAATAGATTATATACATTTTTCATTATATAGTTTTACAAAAAGAAAAAAAAAACTCAATTCAAACGCAATAAAGATTGTTCAAAGATTATAACATTCTCAAATTTTCTAGTCTATCATCCATACTGAGAATTTACTTCTAAAGACTGTGAATATTTGTGGAATACATTCTACTTATGCTAAGATATATGTGTTATAATTGTTATAATTATTTCTTATTATTCAGCATTATTCAGCTACAATACATTTAATTTAATCTCTATGTACGTATAATGTGTATGTGTGATTTTGTTCCTCATAGAAAATGTATTACAAATTAAAATTAATGCCAATATATAATACAATGCATTTATCTACACCAATGAAAGAGCACATTTACATAGCATTAATTAAACATATATAGATCTCAATTTCTTTTTTTGTATATCATTATTAAATAAATATTGTTTTTATTGGAACCACTACTTATGAATAAACTGCTATTTTCTCGATAGTAATAGTTACGATAAATGCATTATTCTATTAAAAAATGTATTCAGAAAAAACTACGAGAAGTAATGAAATATACATAACGAAGATTATGGTGCAGTTCATTCATTTGTATCCTAAAATGACCGAACAAAATTGTAGTTTTTCTTTGATAAGAATGAATAAAATGATTGATTATAAGTTAAAGTATCAGGGGGTAGGGTGAGAATTTTAATATAATTATTCAATGTCAAATTGCTATTACAGACGTTGTGAACGTTATCTATTTGTATATACCGTTCTACAATCAAAGGAAATCCGTTATTCAATCACTTCCCTCTCAGCTGGGAACCCCACACGAAGCTTGTTCTAAATCATTATATAATCACAAGTATGAGCGTATATTCGCTTGTAATAAGGGGTCAGAATATGATTGGCACAATATTCTAGAGGACGTTGCATATCTACGTTATACAGGCTTTAAATATAAACGATTATCGCGGTTCAGTAGGTCAGCTTAAAGGTGACAAGTTTGTATTACATTCTTTTTAGATTACTAAAAAGACAGATGAAATTTTGGTTAACTAGAAATATTTTAGAAAAAGATGTACATACATGTAAGAAGTATTAAAGTCAGAGTTAATAATATTTTATTATAATAATATTTATTTTATTAGTTTGAAATTACTATTCCACATATGTTAGTAGATATATACATTTATTTATCTCATGTTGGTAATATATCAACTACCCCTAAAACAAATGATCATTCATGATTGGTAAAATTGTTCAATGACAATTTTCTTTAATTTTTAGCCAATTTGGTGATTTATTTAAACAGACTAGTCACGATATCCATGAACTCTACATGCAATTTTTGTATAATCTCGTGATTAAGATTATGATATTCTTTTTCTACATGGATACAATGTGTTTTATTATTTCGAATAAAAAAGAAGAGAAAGGAAAGAAATTGTGAAATACAATATGTTTTTGACGCACGAATGTAATAAAACTGGATATTATTATTGATGTACCGGATGGATAACACGTGTAACGTAATTGGCTACTTTTGTATAGTGTATGTTGTGATATATTACTATTAAGCTAAGCACTGGAAAACTCGAGGTAATATAAATTTTGAAAGCTAAAATTAAATTTTTTACATCATTAATTATATAGATTAAATATATTATACATATTTTACAATTGTTTGATTTACAGTTGCATTTTCTATTTATTAAAGAACATGATTAACTATATATAACAATCATTGTAATTCTTATTTTCTAATCAGTCTAATGTGTTAGTTTTTTTTATATATATTACTTTATATAAATTTATATGCTTTACTATACTAAATTAACTATACTATACTAAATTTATACTTTATATAAATTACTTCCCTACAAAAAATATTTATGTCATTGCTGTATACATATTATGATGACCTTAAAGTGTTGTCAAATATCTCTCATGTTTGTTATTATTTATCTTTATGTATAAGGGAAATTGACGCAAATGATTTCATAATTCTCGTCTGAACGAACTATGAATTTCACTATCGGACGAAAATCAGTTATTCTGGTTCGATGTAATCTTTGAAAATTTTTTTCCACGCGTCAGCTTATGGATAACATGTAATTTAACTTTTAATGAAAATTTATGTTGAAGAAATGAAATCATCATTTATGATTCCTGGGTCTTTTAATAGTTTGACACACTTTATATTTATATAAAGTTTTGTAAAAATTAAAATTTCTACGTTATAATGTTCTTTTTTTTTGTAAATAAACAGTTCTGAAACTGGTCGTCAAACGCAACTCTGCGTAGGTACTTGTATATATAGGATAATTACTTAATTGGAAGGATTCATAATTTGTTTTCTTTTCACGTACTTATCGATATCGATTTAAAGTATTTTCGTAATCGACAATTGTTATTTGTTTAAAAATTCGTGCAGGATGAAAATTGATAAAAATTAGTCGAACGGGAGTTTGATTTTATCATATTTCCAAGTTTCGGTTTAAGTATGTTTCAATACATAGAATTAACAAATGCTTCGCCGCGAATGAAGTTTTTTAATCAACTTCACCGAATCCAACCTAAATCCAAGATCATAAATTTTTGTTATTTGTTATTAATTAATTCTATAAATTTTAATATTTATAACATTTACAAATATTACAATTTTCACTTGAATTCTTAGTAAGTTCCAAACACACTAATTAAACTTTTTGAAATACAAAGTAACATCAATATTTTCATTCTCATGTGAATTATAAATTCATATTTATGAAAATGATTGGTACGCCAATAAGAACGAAATTTTTAAAAAAAATTCAACAATTTGTCTTTACTTCTGCATGTTATTTTACACAGCTAGAGTTTTAAATATGTTACATGATATTTACTTGCTATAAAAGAGATTAGCTATGTCCAAACTTGGTGATTCATTAGTAGATAAGTGTGATACATGACAACTCGAATAACTTATATTTTCTTCATACATAATAAATATTCCTTTTCAATTATTTTATCTATATGCACAATTGATACACACTTTGGATACATACTGCCATTATATTGTATTTTGGCGAATATGATTCACATGTCATTACATATATTTGTTATAAAATAGACAAAGTCGTATAATAACTTATCTACATTAATCATATGGATTATATGATACATTATTCGTTGATAATAGAACAGGAAAAGTACAGTTATCTGCTTTTATCGGATAATGATTTTTTAATTGTTTATAACGGAATGACACAGTAAGATAAGATATTCCAGTAAGCTTCAATTTCCATTGGGAAGATTAGATCTGATATAAAGATAAGATATTATAAACGTGTACAATCTTTTAGAATATTCGAAACGTCCAACATTTCACAATATTTTTTTTTAATTCAGTTCTTATTATTTTTTGTTGTGGATCTTTTAATATCATTCGGAATTATTAATACAGTGTAAATGTTGAGGAAAAAAATTTATCCAAAGTACATATTTTCTATTGCAACAGATTGAATATCTAAACTACTAAAACTAAAATGTAGGGAACCGTTTCAAAGCAAGGAAATTTAAGTAATTGGGATCATCGCATGACTACGATGCACGTGAATTATTACGTAATGATTAATATAATAATCTATGTAATATCAGGGGCGTAGAATTTATAGTTATAAATAAACTATAGGTTTCTATGCAAATTCATATTTTTGTGAGAATAATTTAAAAAATAGAATTTTACAGACAAATGTCCATTTCATATATCAAATATCATAACAGATATTATTTTCAACATTTTATGTTTTTATGTAAGTGCATTACATGTGTTTTCATATCTTTAAATTTCTAACATAATGCATAAAAATTTGTAGTCTAGTTACAAATAAAAAATAAATTGTTGTTGTTGGTGTTGAAAATTAAGAAAAAAGAGTTCAAATTTTGAGTATCTTTTACTGAAACAATTTTTATTCACTTGTATTAGAATTGACACAGATCACATATGATCTTTCATTTTTGTTTGTTTACATAAAATATTTCACGAGCGCTTTTCGAGCTTTGAACATCGGAGTTTTTGATTAACGTTTTTTCGCTATTGATCTATGTATATCTGATTTTGAAACTTTAGAATACACGAAAATTGTGTGAAGGAAAAGTTTTATCTATTTAAATAATTATAACAATTTGACAAATTTATATATTTATATTCTTGCTTTTTTTAATTAACTGAGAAAATGCAATATACCATATACTTTATACTATTATATATGCAATATACTATATACTTTATATTATATACTTGATAACTTCGTTGTTTATGTTACTGTCCAAGTCTTATCTTTTCTTGCATATACATTGCATTAAATGGAGAATGTAATTCTTACGTTGAAAAATATCTGTATAACAATAAAAAGAGAATATTTATGTTCTTACACGCGTGAACGATTTTAGTGGCAACGCTTGACAGAAAAATTTAGCCTTATATAATCTACATGCATAATTGTAAAAAAGATACGAAGCAAATTACGTTGCAACAACGTATTTAATAGTAGAAATAAAACGAGGTGAACCTCAAGTCGTTGGGTGCAATTGCATTGACTAATTCGAATTCAATATACGATCATGGTAGAGAGAGAGAGAGAGTGACAGAAGATCGGTGACATCCGCCGTGAAAAACTCGATGGAAAAAGGAAGAAAAATTTCGGTGAGAGAGAAGTGCATTTCCTTCCAGTAATATACTAAATACATATATCGATATTTATTGCAGTGTATTATTTTCCCATGTACGGAGGATGCAGGAAGAGTCCTTTGAAATTTTCATATGACGACGATCTATTTCAACCTTGGACAAGTTCAAGTTACGTCATCCATGGAGAATAATTTCCGCGGATGGTTCGTGACCGACGAATACCATGGCAACCCGGGCAGGCAAGAATTTCCCGGCGATGTAACGATCGAGTGGACCTACGATCACATCGGATAATCACTTTGAAGTTAGAAGTGGGGAACGGTAGCAGTCGAAGAGCGCGGGGCAAGCGACGCACGCGTGCGCTGAAACGCTCCTCTACATAAATATCGCAGCCGCGCTCCTACGGTAGTAACACGGACTTTGCTATCAGACGCCTCGTTGCTTTCATGACCAGTGCCTTTTAACTCTTTGCAACAACACAACACGATAGTACGCGACACACACGATTCCGTTTCTATAGCCATTGATCGAACAATCCATCCAAAAGTACCAGCACTCTGCACGATCGCTGGACCAGCAATAACACTGGTGAGTACCATACTGTGTCATTCCTTGTACCA